CACAGTGCTAGGAGCTTTCCATGTGATAACTTCTTTGAGCATCACAGTAGATCTGTTATTGGCCTCATTTCAGAGATGAGAAAACTTAGTCCTAGAGAGGGTGAAACTTGCCACAGGTCCCACAGCTAGAATGTGGAGGAGGGGAGGCCTGGAGACCAGGAGAAAGGAGCTGAGGACAAGGGGGGTAGTCAGAGAGAGGGTGGGAGACAGGGCAAGAGGTGTGGCTAGTGCCTGCATCTGGGTAAACAGAGGAAAGGCCATGGGAAGTGGCCAGGACTGAATCATCCTGCCCCCCCCTTGGCCCCATGAGGGTGACTGGGCAGAGTCCATGGCCAGCTTCTGTGCCCCTTGCCCTGCTGCCTAAACATGGGCACAGTGACCAGAGGGCGGGAATGTGTGGTGGGCTGAGGGCCCTGGGAGTGCAGGCGGACACAGAGCTCGCCTGTGGCCATGGCCATGGGGGTGGCCATGGGGCGGGGTGGGGGCTGAGTCACAGAGCAAACACTCGGGGCCCATAGACACAGGAGTGTCTGTCCCATTTCCATCCAGGCCCCCTCCTCTGTGGCCACAGCACTGACCTCTTTCTCTCAATTTTGCTGGTGGGTGTGTCTGAAGGGGGCCGAAGGAAGGGCACTAGCGGGATTTAGTAACCCCGATTTCCAGGGAGTCCAACTTAGCCCTAGATGCCCTGACTGCAGGCGGCTCCCGCCCAGCTGTGCCAGTTGGGAAGGCAGGCAGAGGAAAGAGCACTGGGCCGGGAGACCTGAGTTCCTCAGCTTGTGAGCAAGGGCAGCAGTTCTCAGTGCCTCGGTTTCCTCATCTGTAAATGGGCTTAGCTATAGCTCTCCTGCTGCCTCATACAGGCTGATTTGGAGAACACATGAGCTCCTTCGGGGAAAGAAAGTTGGAAAGTAAAAATGTGTCTATAGATTTGGGGAATCTTCATTAGTTAGTATAAAATGATCCTGGCTGCCCCTTCCCCTGCTGTCGAGGTTCAGGTAGAAAATTTTCTCCCTCCTTGGAGACCTTGAGCCAGGCCTGGGAATAGAGCTGAATTTCGCTCCTTTCTCCCCAGAGTGACTGGGGGCTTCTCTGCTTCCTTTTTGCCCTGGCTCTCATGAAGGATGGGGTCACGGTGGGCTCTAGCTCTCCAGCCCACCTGGCCCCAGCTCTCGCTCCTTTCTCCCCAGAGTGACTGGGGGCTTCTCTGCTTCCTTTTTGCCCTTGCTCTCATGAAGGATGGGGTCACGGTGGGCTCTAGCTCTCCAGCCCACCTGGCCCCAGCTCTCCTCCTGAGGTGCTGGGTGTGTTCTTCCATACAGCTTCATGCTCTCTGCCCTGAGCCACACTGCCTGCAGCCTGCCCGCACTCCCCTGCTTCCCGACCATTCTGTAGTGGAGGTCTTCTTTCTCCATGAAAAGCACAGTGCCAGTGCCCTGCACCTTTCCATTGCCCACACTACCACCCTCAAAGTTCTGGCCAAGTGGGTGCACCCATGGGCACCTGCTGAATTTTTGCCCACCCCTCTGGGTTGTATTTCCTAGGGCAGCCCCTACATGTTGCCACCCCAACACCCCCAGCTCCCTAGGACTCACATGTCACAGCTTCTTTGGGGACATCGAGGTCAGTGCTGTCCAAGGCCTGGGAGGCCCCAGGGCCATTGCCCTGGGGCATGGGGGGTGCTGCCTCCTCCAGGGAGCCCTCCTCTGGTGCTGCCTCCACAGGGTGAGCCGATCCTGTTACTACCTCCAGCCCAGGTAGGAGTGATTGGGTCTGGGCTAGGGAAAAAGCAGGTGACTCAGGTACATTTTCCTGTTTGCCCAGCCCCAGCCCTGTCCCACAGCCCAGCACGTCCAGTGAGCCCTCATTCTCAGTCTCACTGCAATAGTTCCCCAGCCCTTTCCCTAGCTGGCAATGGTGCCAGACTCCAAAATAGAAAGCTTCAAACCACAGCCCGGGAGGGAGAAAGGGTGTGTGTGCATGTGTGTGCATGTGTGGTGCCAGGGGGAGGGGCCAGAGGTGCACAGTATAAAGGCAAGTGGGGAGAGGAGGCAGAAACACAGCGCAGGAGAGAACAGATGGACGGGCAGCGATGGAGAGATAGGGACAGGCATCGGGAGTGACTGGGAGAGAAAGAATCAAAGGGACAGTGAAAGGTAGAAGCAAAGAGAGAGAGAGCCTCAGAATGCAGGAGATTGGACACAGAGGGAGACAGCCACAGAAACCCAGTGACAGACAGCTGGGACAGGAGGGAAACTCAGCGATAGCATGAAAGTCAGGGATGGAGAGAAAGAAAGAGACGGGGCAGAGGCTGTGGGGAAGGGAGTGTGATACAGAGCGTGTGAGCGAGACAGACGGCAAGAAATTGGGTCAGAGAGAAGAGCATGGCAGAGAAGGAGTCAGAAGAATCTGGGGGTGAGGAGCAGGGAGGGGCTACAGGCAGGAAGAGAGGTGGCCCAGGAGCATTGGGAAGAGGTGAACCGCAGCCCATGTAATTACAGTGGCTCTGTGCAGGGGCGGCGGAGGCAGAAACGGAGCCACCTTCAAACCCACATCTCCCCAGGCAGCAGGACTTGGGCCCCTGGGCCCTGGGGAAGAAGGATATGGGGGATGAGAGGTGGGGGAGCCAGCAAGAAAGGGGTTTGAAGTCCCAGACCCTCAGCCGCTGGGTGTGGGAAGACCTGAGGGTGAAGCCGAGGGGCACAGGGCCAGGGCTCGGGCTGCGCCAATGACAGGGCGTTGGGTGCAGCCTGAGCCTCTTATTAGACCCCAGGTGTGCCAAACAAAATGACAGGGACCTCAGGAGGGTGGCCTCCTGCCTTCCCTCTCCCTACATATAATTTTGAGAGAAAGAGAAGGAGTGGGGGAGACATAGAGAGGCAGAGACCAAAAGGGCTTGGGGAGAGGCAGAGTAGCCCATAGGGGCCAGGGAAAGACAGAGAGAAACAGCAGTGAAGCCCAGAGAGCAAAAGACAACCCCCGCTGCACACACTCCACAAACAGACGGACAGAGACACACACAGAGACGGAGAGACAGGGCGACAAAGAATAGCCTTGGAAATCCATATGGAATCAATCACAGAGAACACAGTGGGGCTCGCATATGGCGTCCTCTGAGCCTTCTCCAGATGACAGAGAGAAAGAGAGAGAGGGGAGAGGGGAGAGCACACAGGAGGGAGATAATTAGAGGGATCACTCAGGCTTGGGCACGCAGGTCTGGGATGGGAGCTGGAAGTGCACTGAGGGGCAGATCCAGTGGTCCAGCTTCATCCTAGCCCAGATCATCCCTCTGTGGCCTCTGACCCTCAGAGACCCCTGAGGAATCATTGTTCCAAAGACCCTGGTCCTCCACGGCTAGGGGGACGGAGGCCCCAGAAGCTCCATGTGGTTGCACAGAGGGCACAGGTCCAAGCAGGCATGCTCACGCCTGCCCAGGGAACACCACAGGCCCTGCCTGGACACAGAGCTGGGGCAGGGAGGAGGGAGGGGCTGGGTTCCCGGATTCCCAGAGGGCAGCACAGTTATTTGCTGGGAGCCCTTCTCGGTGCCTGCAGCTGCTCCAGGGAGGCAGGGGGTGGGTTCCCTTCAGCCCTTTCTGCTCTTTGGGCCTGTTGACAGCCCCCCCTTGCCACCAAGTCTGATAATAGAGAAGACAAATGGCTTTTGGAAGATCCCTAGGGGTGGGACAAGGGAGTACAGGCAAGTGGAGAGGACACCCATGGAGGAGCGGTGCTGCCTGCTGGATGGTGCCCTTTCCCTCCCCTCCCCTCCCCTCCCCTCCCTTCCCTTCCCTTCCTTTGCTGTTTGGTTTCACATCTATTACATACCTACGAGGTGCCTAGCCATGTCAAGCACTGGGTATACCAGAATGAAAAAGACCAGGTGACTGCCTTAGGAGTTCCTTGTGAGGCGTGGGTTGGGGCTGTCACATATTCCGAAGGACAAGAGTTACAGTAGGGGCATCTGTAAGAATTGTGGAAGCACGGAAGATGGGCATCTAGCCCCGATGTGTGTGTGTGTGTGTGTGTGTGTGTGGCTAGGAGGCTTTCCGGAGAAGGCAATACCTGCACTGAGTATTGAACAATTAGCAGAGAAGGGGAATCTCGGGAAGAGCAGCAGGAACCAACACCCCAGAGTGAACAGCTTCAGCATGAACGAGAGAAATCATATGTCATTTGGTGGTGCTGAGGCTGGTGAGCTGGGAACACGAGCTGAGGCACTGCAGGCCCTATAGTCACTTCCCAGGCTTTCTCCTGAGGTCACCGGGGTGCACAGGGGTGACACCATCAGTCCCATAGTAGAGAGAGCCAGGATTTCTGCTCTCTTGGCCTCCAGGCTTATGGAGGAAGGAAGGCAAGAAAGAAGGTTTCAGGAGACTGGAGTCCTCCTCTCCCACTCCTGACCCAAAGCGTCTCCAGTCCCTGGGCAGTCTCTTTTAATAGTCACCTACAGGGCTGGTGACCTTGAATCTGGTGGGAATAGGAAATTATAGAGCCAAAAGCAAGGCCCGAGGTGGCCTGTCCTGCAGGAGGCCTGCCATTCTAGGGTGAGTGGCAGACCTCGGAGGGAAAATGAGGAAGGAAAGAAAACCATGTCTAGTAACCTTGACCTGGAGGCACACAGAGGGACAGAGGCAGACCTGAAGTCAGGAGGGGCAGCAGAGGGGACCCAGCAGACCAGCACTGAGGGCAGAGAGGAGGAGACGGAACCAAGTGCCGAGAGACAGGGAAGCAGAATGAGGAGGAACAAGAGATGGCAGGAAGGCCTGGTCCAGAAGGAGCTGCTGTCCCAGAGTGTCTGGGCACAGGATGCCGGCACAGAAGTCACTCTTGTTTAGAGCACGTGGAGCAGAAAGCTGGGCCAGAGGGAGAGCCCAAGTGCTCACATGTCAACAGGCCCAAAGAGGCCAGTTTTCCTTTTGGTGACCAAGAGATGCCACTGTCCATCCACAGAGGGGAGAAGGTCTCTGAGGAGAAACTCCTGGAGGGCGGAAGTGTGGAGTGGGCTGGAGGGAAGGAGTGGCCACCTAGGCCACGAAGGGCGCCGTGTGACATGCGTTCACATCCTGCATAAAGGCTCCTGCCAGAGGGGGGCGGGGTGGGGCTGGAATCCCTGTTTGGAGCCCCATCCTCCCAGTAGGTGCCATCTGTCCATCCAGCTGCACAGCCGCACATCTGACCAGAGGGAAACCTTTTCTAATTTGCAAAGGGGTGCCACACACGTTGGCGGCATCTCTGAGCAGAAGTCCCCAGCCCCGCACCCGCTCACAAGGGGGAAATACAGAGAGTGCAGCATCTTACTTCCACACTCTCCCATTCCTGACACGGGATAAGGTTCTGTCAATGCCCTGAGTTCTGGAAAGACAGCCAGCCCTAGAAGGGAGTAGAAGAGTCATGTTTAAACCCATAAGCCCAAGAAGGAAGGCTGAGAGACTCACAACCTCAACAAAGGCCCTGCGGGCTCCCTCTGATATCCACCAAGTTGAGAGGTAGTCCTGGACCGAGAGGGAGTAGGGGGGCCTCTTCCAGGTGGGATGGGTTTGCTCCAAGCCTGGACAGTGCCCATGGGGGTTCCAGCCACAAGACCCCTGGCTGGTGTGGAGAGAGGCCCAAGTTCTGGAGTTCCTATGCCTGGTCCCTGATGTCCGGCCCTCTCTCCATTGTCTTTGTGGACGGTGGATCTGAGTTTCCCCCTTGGAGCTGGAGTTCTGAGCACCTCTGGAGAGGGCCAGAACCACATCTGGTCACAGAGCAGTAGCTGGAACCCCATGCTTCAATGTCTTTCCTTGACTTGGCATTCAAGGCCCCTTGGAGCTGGAGTTCTGAGCACCTCTGGAGAGGGCCAGAACCACATCTAGTCACAGAGCAGTAGCTGGAACCCCATGCTTCAATGTCTTTCCTTGACTTGGCATTCAAGGCCTTAGCATACATCTTTGATAGAATCAATGTACAAGGATCCTATGTTCCAGGCAGACTGACCTCTCCATGGCCCCAGGCCATTGCTGGGCCTTCTGAACAGTCTACACATGCTTATATTATTTCTCATGAACAGAAGGTCCTATCCCTCCCTCCTCCCACTCTCCAAATCCAACCCATCCTTCCTGACCCAGCTTGAACTACACCTCTTCCTCCAGAAAGCCTTTCCTGACCCCTGAGTCACCAGTCTCTCCTCCAGGAGGCCCAACTGCTGAGAACTTAGCACCCAGGGTCCCCTTTTGCTAATTATCACTTGGTAGTGAAGTCCTGGCCTCTCAACCAGGCTAAGCCCTCCCCAACTCCCTCCCTTGGGGTGGTATCAGTATTCATCTCTGCATCCCCAGTGGGCACTCAGCGAATGTCGGCTGGTGAGTATTGAGTGCTGGAGTTTGGAGTGCCCCAGGTGAGGGGAAGGAGAGAGAAAGAGAGAGGGCTGAGGATTAGGGGTGGCATATGGCTCTGAACCCCAGGAAGGCCAGAGAATGTGGGCTCCCTTGATGCACACGCAAGGTTAATGTGAATCCACTGGTCACAGTTTCAGGCCACCAAGCTGAGAACGGGAGAGGGCCTGAGCTAGCCAGTTAGGCTGGGTCGAGCTGATTTTATTTTAGGTCTGAAGGCTCTAATTCCCCAGGAAATTCAATTTAGAACCATGAACAGGAATGTGACGCCCTAGTACTGGGCAGAAATCTGCTTGTGGGTTAGGGAGCCAGGCTCCTGGGGCTCTCAGGGGTAGGTGGGGAGGAGCCACTGGGGGAGCCAAAGATGTGCGGGCTTGGCCACTTGCCCCAACCAGAGCTGTCCTGAGTCCCCTTGCGCCCTGTCTGCAAGTTGGGCAGCTGAGGGAGGGGGGAAGACTTGCTCCCTGACTATCCTGCCAGCAGGGCCCCCAGGGGCAGCGCTGTGGCATTGCTGTTCTGTCAGCTCTCAGGGAGTGTGGGGGATTCTGGTCTCAGATTCAGGCGTCTGTGGGGTTTTGGCTGGGTCTTCTGCGGTTTGGGCTTCCTGGGCAGCAGGCTCACTCTCCCAAGTGGTGGCAGAGTGAGGCCTCGCCTCGTGTTATGAAAGCAGCATTGTCTGGCCCAGCCCAGGCTGGGGAGGGGGCTTGCTGGGGCACTGGGGAGCCTCAAGTTACAGCTCAGGGCTTAACCCTCCCATTGCCCACCGTGGCCCCTGCCCTAAGCACATTCAGCCCCCTCCTCTGGGCTGCTGGGGCAAACAAGGGAGGGTATCTTGGAAGGAGGCAGTGGAAGAGAGTGCAGAGAAAACGGGTAAGAGGAAGAAGAAAGCGGGAAAAGTGGCAGGATGGGAGAGAGCAGGAGGCTAAGGAGGAGAGGAGGGGGAGAGAGGCTGAGGCCGCTGTCCCTAGCTCTCCTTCCATGCTGAAGGAGCCCAGTTCTTGGAGGAGTTTATTCCCCAGAAGTCCTTGCTCCAGGGGCCCCACAGAGAGAGGAGAGAAGCTGAGGTTAGGGAAGATGGACAGCAGACACACTAGTCTTGTCTGCGTGCTGGCCACTGGCCAGACATCTCCCACTTATCCTCACCCTGTTTTAGGAGACCCCGACGTCCACAGCTGTGGACATCCACACCAGGGAGATCTGGAGAGCTGAGACAGGCCTCTCCAAACAGGCAGACAAGCTCCTATGGGCAAATGTGGAGACTGAGGCCAGAGAGGGGAAGGAACTTGCCCAAGGCCACACAGGGAGTTCGTGTCAGAGGTCCAGGAGCAGACCTTCATTATTCAGAGACTCAAAGAGGGCAGACAGGGAGAACGGGGTTGGATGGGAGAAAGGCAAAGGGTGAGACTAAGCTAGAGGGCTTCGAATCATGAAGTCTCGGCCTACACTCCTGCACCCCATCCTCCTGCCCCTGAACAAATCCCAGATGTCCTGACTTCTCTCAGACCCCCACTTCCACCGCAAGCCTCAGCTCAGGCATCTAGACAACCAGGGGAAAGGACTGAGAGCCACAGGCAGCAGGGCCCCTACCCAAGGCCCCTCAGGGAGGCCTAGAGTCTCCCTTACTTGGGAGGCTCCCAGCAAGAATCCGGGGCAGGTTACCGACCCGCGAGGTGGGGGAAGGGGCATTATACTCGGGTTGTGGACGCTTGGTTGAGGTGAGGGTGTGTGCGCGCGCACGTGTATGTCTCAGCCTGCAGGGTAGGGGTGGCGGAGACCTGAGGGCTGGGAGGGAAAGGCCTGCGAGAAGAGGTGGCAAGAAAGAGGGGAGGGGCCGGGTCCTGCCGCCGCTCAGAGCAGACAAAAGTTTTCGGGAAGCGCTCGGCTGCGTTTGGGCTGGGGGAAGGGAAGGAGAGAAAGACTCAGACACCCCCACCCCCGCCTGAGGCCCCCATAAATATTTACACTCTGGGCAGAAACGGTTGGACACGAATCCCAGACCGACAGACAGTCACTGCGAGGTGTGTGTGTGTGTCTGGTGTTGGGGGTGCGGGGGTTGGAGCCAACTCGGCGCAGCCGCCGCCTCTGTCCGGGGCCCTGCCCCCCTCGCCCCGGCCCTCTACTCTCCTTGGACCAGGTCCCCGATACCCAGACTTCTCACCCTCACCCCACCCAAACTCCCCGGAGCCGTCTCCCCGCGTCTCAGGGAGGAGAGGGGGGGAACTGGTCAGTGCCCCCCACCCAGCCGCCCACCCCGCATCCGTCCAGCTTCACTCTCCATCCCCGGTCCTACCTGGGGCCGGGGCTGCGCTGGGGCCTCCATGGGGCGCGTCGCAGAGAGAGGGGAGCTGGCCGCTCACCTGGGACATCGGCCCGGGACCTGCGGAAAACAAGGCTCAGCGGGCGGGTCCGACCTGCCCCTCGCGCGTGAGGGGAAGCGGGTACTGTCAGGGGGTGATCCCGCGGCAGACGCGCGCCGCCCGGGTCCAGCCTCCTGCCCGCGGCGCGCTGCTCTCGCCCAGCCGGGATCACCGCGCGCGGCTGCGGGCGCCCCCGCCGAGGGACCGCTCGGCTCCTCGGTTCTCGCCCGGCGCCCCCTCCCCCTCACTCGCTACTTTCTCCCATTTCGGCGCCAGCTCGCGCCGCTCGCCCCCTTCCTTCTTCCTTCTCTCGCTCCCGCCCCTCCCCTGCTCGCCTCGCCTCTCCCCTCCCCTCGTCCCCCGCCCACCCTCTCCCCGCCCCCCC